CTCCTCCCTCCTCCCTCCTCCCTCCCTCCCTCCTCCCTCCTCCCCTCCTCCCCTCCTCCCTCCTCCCTCCTCCCTCCTGCCTCCTCCCTCTCGGGCGGCCGCCGAGGACGGCCGCCGAAGGCCAAGTCGGTGGCTCAGAGATGGGGTCCCAGGGGAGGGGGGCCTGAGGACGGTCGGGGGCGTCCAGGAGGGGGGCGTCCAAGATCGGCACGAACGAAATGGGTACGGAAAGAATGGGTACAATGCCGAACAGCAGTTCGCTGTCCGCGCCGCCGCGGCCTGTACCCGTTTGAAACAGAAGGCCTCCTGCCCAACAGCGGCCGCTGTTAGTTTGGGACAACATTTGTTGTTGGGCATTGTACCCATTTTTTTCCGTACCCATGTCGGGCGTCCAAACCAGGTGGGGGGGGGAGGGGGGGTAAATCATGGCACGTGCGCGGCCCAGGGGGGGGGGGAGTGGGGCTGGGAGCGTAATGAAGTAAGAGGGGGTAGCACGAAATCTGAGGAAAGATCATGGCCCACGCCATGGTATCCCCCCCCTGGTCATCACCCCCCCCTCTTGGCCGCCCCCGAGGCAGGAAAGGATCCAAGGATGGATGAATGGATGTACGTCGCTTGAGACGCCATGGTATCCACACACACACACACACACACACACACACACCACTCATCCCCCCCCCCTTGGCCGCCCCCGAGGTAGGAAGGGGTCCAAGGATGGATGGATGCACGTCGCTTGAGACGCCTCGTCCTCGGGACCCCATCCTCCAGGACCCCTTCCCTCCCAGATCCGATGTCGTGATCTGTTCAATACGGGGTCCCCGGAAGGGTCGACCCACTCATCAGCACCAGGGTTTCGTCCCGAGTCGTTTTTGGACGGTCCTGGGGCCCGGTGAGGGCCCCCTAGAGAGGCCGAAGACAGCGCGAAACGTCCCGTCGTGATTTTTGTCCCGACTCGAGGGGGTCGGGGCCTCGGGACCCCACCCTTCAGGACCCCACCTCCTGGAGCCGCCGCAGGCCGAGGCCCGCGCAGCGCGGGCGCGGGCCCCTCCCGGCCGCCCGCGGCGCCCGCCATCGGCCGCCGGGGCGGCGGGCCGCCGCGGGAGGGGCTGCCATGCGGGAGCGGGAGGGCAGCCCGGAGATCCTGGCGGCTCGCCTTCTGCTCTGGACGCCCGAAGCGGGGTGCGGAAAGAAATGGGCCGAGCCCAGACCGCGAGGGCGCGGACATCGTTGGCGGCTCGCTTTCTGCTCCGGACGCCCGAAGCGGGGTACGGAAGGAAGGGGCCGAGCCCGGACCGCGAGGGCGCGGGCATGGGCACGTTCGCCGCTCGCGGAGCCAAGGGAGGGAAAAACCGCCAGGGCCCGATCGGTGGCGCTTAGTTAAAGAATGGCCCTGGGCGTTTACTCGGGAGCGGCCAAGAGGGGGGCGTCAGAGAGCGGGGGGCGCAAATCATGACCAGCGGCACGTGCGCGGTTCCGCGGGGGGACCAGGGACGTAATGGAATAAGAAGAGGCGCCATGAAATCTGGGGAAATATCATGGCCCCCGCCATGATATCCACCCCCCCTAGTCATCGCCCCCCTCTTTGCCGCCCCCGATTTACCAAGCAACCCTGCCCCGTTCGATGCCAAGGCACGTTTACGAAACGACTCCGCGTGCGGGGGTGGTTCTTCTGGGGGGGGATGTTTTGACTTCTGTGGAGAGCGGGAGCCGGAACAGGGGTGGCATGATCTTTCCGGATCACCGACCACGGGCGATAATAAACCCCCTGGGATGATAAAGTTCGCGGTTCCCGCGGGGATAAGAAAGGACGTTCCCGAGAAGGTAACTTAACTATGATGCTGGTGACGATGATGATGATGATGACGATGATGATGACGATGACGACGATGATGGAGGAGGAGGAGGTTAAACAAGGCGCACGACAGAAGCCTGACACGAGCGATCTCGAGGCTCGTGGCAAGTTACTTGCCCGCAGAGGCGCACGACACAAGGCTGACTCGAGCGATCTCGAGGCTCGTGGCTACTTGCCCGCAGAGGCGCAGGACACAAGGCTGACTCGAGCGATCTCGAGGCTCTTGGCTGGGCGCCTAGATTTTGCCAGCGCAAGAAAGGTCCATGGCCGATCTGGCCAAGAAACCCTTGGGCATACTGAACTGGTGAGAGTCCCACAGCCCTGCCACACGCTCGTGATTGTGGAAGCTGGTGTGGTGAGACCACCATGGCCATGATCAGCGTTTTTGATGCTGCTAACCAACATGATATGATCCCCGCAACTTGTCCGTGGATTATCAAGTTCGACCTCCGCGCCTACCCCACATATAAATCCATGTGGGCGGGGATAAAAAATAGAGGGGGGTAAGGGGGGGCACCTTTACTATCGCCCGCACTCGGTTACCATGGCATGGGCCATAATATTTTCTCAGATTTCGTGCTGCACCTTCTTACTTCATCACGCTCCCACCCCCCCTGTGAAATAAATAGTGTCAGTGCTGATATGTAAGCAGTGTAGCATAGCGTGCCAGCAAGCATATGCTCTTTCGTAACTATTGGGGCTCAATCCTTTAAGGGCCCTTGAGCTTGGGCGTATCGGTAAACACCTCGCAGGTGCCGCTAAGCAACATCAACCGCCTATCATTGCTGATATCTTCGCAGATACTTTTACGCCATTGCTGACAATAACAACCTCGCGGTGATCATCGCACTCAGACCCCTCACGCAATATCGGGTCTGCATTGGTAGCAGGCGCTAACTCGACCACGGCAGCTACGTGCGCGACTTTGCAGAGTCAGTTAGCAAGCACTACAGGCTCGTGTCGCGATTTGGATTGCGACTGCACCTCTCATTCGGGGTCGCCATCATGGCGACAGGAGGAGCCGCTGCAGCCAGCGGCGAGGACAAGAGCAACGGGGGCAAGATCCCCGTGCCCGTCTTCGATGGCACGAGCGAGACCATGAAGAAGCACCGCCGAGAGGTCGCCACCTGGCAGATCGGCACCGAGGTCAAGCCGCCCAAGCAGGGAGCGACCTTGCTGGCCAGCCTCAAGGGCAAGGCCGAGGAGGCGCGCGAGGAGCTCGACCTGGACGCCATCAAGGGCGACAACTCGGTGGAGGTGTTCCTGGAGTACCTCGGGAAGCGCTTTCCCGAGATCGAAGTGCTGGAGACCCCAGCGCTGCTGGAGACCTTCGTGCGCCCGGCCTGCGCCCGGCACAAGTACGAGGAGATCCGCGACTACAACAGCCGCTTCAATGGGATCGCCACCAAGCTGAAGGCCAAGTGCATCCAGGTGCCCGACGAGGTCTTAGCGGGCCTGTACATCAAGGGGGCCCGCCTGCCCCCAGAGCGCGCGGCGAGTGTGCTCAACGGTGTGGGCAACCAGTTCAACCCCACCAAGATCCAGGAGCAGTTGATGATTAACTTGCCCAAGGTATCGGCAACAAAGGACAGCCACGACAAAGGAGGCTACGGAGGTCACAAGAACAAGGACCACAAGCGGGCGTACGCTACGGAGACCTACGAGGAGCATCGTAGGGCCGAGTTCGACGGCGCGTCCTCGGACAGCTCCGACGACTACGAGGACGAGCTGCCCGACGAGCTGCAGGACGCGATCGACGGAGCGGAGGAGCAGGTAGCCTTCTTCACCAAGAAGATGGCGCGCGCCAAGGACAAGCTGAAGGAGGCGAAGCAGGCGCGCGGCTACTTCGCCAAGCGCGACGGCGGCAACCCACCGAAGAAGGACGATCCCAAGATCGCCAAGATGAAGGCAAGGACACACTGCGGCGCATGCGGCCAGAAGGGCCATTGGCGCGGTGACCCGCAGTGCTCGAAGAAGAATGACCTTAATGCCAAGGCCGACATCCCGAAGAAGGGAAGCAACAGGACGAACATCGCCACGCACGAGACCAGCGACGTGCAGGAGCCTCACGTGGCGGAGATGACGGTCGCGGCGGTCTGCCAGCAGGACCAGCGGGCCGCGGCTCGCGCTAGGAAGCACGGCGCGCTGCACAGCATTGACTGGACGCAGATGCGCCAGGCCGCCGAGCTACCCGAAGAAGTTACGGCGGCGGAGTTCTTCATCAACAAGGACCACCAGTGCCTGATGGCCGCGACGAGCTCGGCGCTTATCTACCTCAGCGTCGAGGACCTGCTGAAGGAGTCGGGGGGCAAGCTGACCTTCGACACGGCCTGTGCGCGGTGCGTCGGCGGCCTCGACTGGTACAATGACATCAAGAAGAGGCTGGCCGTCTTCAACATCCAGCCCATCGAGTACCCCGAGAAGGAGCCGTTCCGGTTCGGGGCGTCGAAGGTGGTGTTCAGCCTCAAGGCGGCGCTGATTCCCTGTTCGGTGAACGGCAAGGCCTTCGCCGTCCGCATGAGCATTGCGCGCAGCGCCGTGCCAGGACTGTTCAGCCGCAAGGCCCAGAGCGAGCTGGACACAGTCTACCACGCCGGAGACAACAAGCTGGACATCAAGTCGATCGACGAGCACAACATCCAGATGGGCCTGAGCCGCGCCGGACACCCGACGCTGGACATCACAGGCTTCACGCCGAATTATAAGCCCGTTTTGGACGTCTCGGATACCAAGGCCGAGATTCGTCTCC